GAAGATCTGGCGCTACCGCCGCAACCCATACGACCGCGGTAGCTTATACAACACCTTGCACATGCGTTAGCACTGCTCGCACTAAACAGTTTTTAATCGCTAAAATTTGACAGCTTAGCAAGGCATACCTAAATTGTATTTTCGGCAGTCGAGATTTCATTTTCCCCGAAGACCTTGCTGAAAATTCCCCGACAGGGGGGTCCTTCACTCCCTGGACCCCCGCCCGCTAGCGCCGCCCCTGAATTCGAATCGTAGAATGGTTAAGCAACCACGGAATAGTCCCCGGTTATAAACAATTCTTTTTTTAATCATTTTTAAGACGATTTAATTAAAATGTATTTCACCTGAAATAAATTTTCCATTCCAATTGATGTACACATTGTAGACGCCGACATTTTTGGCAAGTATGCGTATTGTATAACCGTTACCATTCGAGATTGTTTGTATGGGTAGGTTACGCCTTCCATTGCTGACCTCCACACTCAAGTCCCCCTCACCTGCCTCAGACACATCAACTGAAATAGAAAACAAGAAATATATTCATTAGTGTAGGCTTAGGCCTATCTATTTCAAAGAACCTAGGCTTGCTGCTTATCGTCGAGAAATACAACTGAATTAATTCTTCAAGTAATTAAAATAATGATATAGGCCTATAAAGGGTTGACACCATCGTGATTCTATCCCAGTACCGGTACTTCATGATTAACCCTCTGCTATCCTATACCAGTTAATTAACTCTCAACTCGACAACATGAATAAAAAGTGATAGTCCCTAAAAGCCATCGTTTAATCTCGCATCGTAATGGTACGGTATCGTACGCCGATCGAAGTTCGAATGTTGCAATACTCACGATACACTTCATGCTCGTCCCCAAGCATCACTGAATTCCCATTGGTTGATAAATGTATCGTGCCGTGTGCTGATCGAATGACGTTAAAATCTCGCTGTACTCCATGTGAATTTCGTCCTCCTTGTTTTGGCTTTGACAGTGTGAGCGCCTCCAACGATGGAATGGGATGTTCGGGTTCGGGTTCGAGCTCTGGTAAAATCATGACGTCAAATGGACAGCCATTGACTATTTGGCCAAAGTAGCGAACAGTTATCTATATAAAAAAATATATATAATATACATAAAGGATATAAATGTTATTAAAACATATCATTTCTGTTGCTTAACATAATCGTGAACACATAATAATGGCTACGAAAGATTCCAAACTGAATCACATTGTTCTTTAGAATATAAATATTTTTGACAGAATGGTGATGAACCGTATCATCTTAATACCATCATTATCCTTTACCGCCTTCAACATAAGCATTGAGTGGATTCGTTTATTCTTATCAAAATTATTTTCATAATTATTATCATATCGCCATCATCGTCTTCTGTTTCTTCTTTTTCTTCTTATACTAGTAGACTTATGCTTTTTCTTCAACACGCTGTAGATTCTGCAGCTTGCTGATGCGACCAAAGAATTGTTGTCTTTGAATTTTGTGTAATTGTGAATTTCAAATTTATTTCTAAAAGCCTCTTATTAGATGACGTGAGTATTTAGTTATACTTTTATTAATCTATTTTTCATATCATTTTTTTTCTTTCTTCAACCTTATTCTTCCATTCCTTCTATGACCTCTCTTATTTGCATGTTTTATTGTCATCATCTATACCATCATTATCATCATTACCGTTATCATCATCACCTATGAATAATACCATATAACAAGGTCAAACAGACTGTTGTTCCATTTGTTGCGGCCCTCCTTCTAAATAGACCTACCTTATGTTGTACTCGTTCGTGTGGTATGACTGTAACCTCAGCTTCCTGGTGGTTGAAGGCGTGGACATTGACTTCAGCTGGTTCGCCGAGGTTCTCCACTTCGACAGAGACATCATTGACACTCATTGAGTGGTCGCTGAGCCTGATCTGAAATGCAATCTGTGAATGAAGGAGGTTGTAAATGAATTAAAACGTGCAAGAATATAGGAATATTATGTATCACTGTTGTTACACCTTGGAGTGGAGTTGATTAGCTCAGTGCTTGCCTTCTGATCCCAGGGTCCTGGGTTCAATTCCTGTCACAGCAGGACTTTTTCTCAAGACTAAAAACAACTCCACTCCCTAAGCCTCATAAAGACACTTGGTATATAAAGCATCATTCTCATCCTGTAAGTGGCAAGTGTACTCGCTGTTGGATGTGAAGGAAATAAATAT